CGCAAGTTTGTTCGTCGTCCAATGAAAAGGCTTGAATCATATCCGGGAGCGAATTCCCAAATGACCTTTTCAAGCCCCACAAACAAAATAAAAGATGGGCAAGTTTGCCTGTCACTAGAGAGAAGGAGACAAGCATATTAACAAGTCCCTTGACAAACATCAAGCAATCGTTATTATCTCTACCTTTCTCCTTCACCTCTTTTATACTTGATAAACAAACGGAACATTTTAAGACTGAGCGCTTACTTCAAAGACATTCCTACCCTTCAATAATGCTCATATATACATACATACATACATCCACACATACATTCCTGCCTATGTACACATAAACTCATTCTTGCAAGGACTACTATGAAAATTTTGACAACTTTGTATCAACCAAAATACAATAATCTTATTTGTAAAGACCTTAATTGATTTATATGTATATAAATTTGTCGTTTCACTTTACAATTTGATTTTCTTGTTTTATACCCCTCTTATGGTGGGCTATCTAACAGGGCCAAATCAAACTAATTTGTTTCCACACTCATACACTTCACTATAACTGATAACCCATTATACTTACACTAAAATGGAAAAAAAAAATTGTTTTGGGCATTTTTCATTAACATTATTCAAAGTTGGGAGCCAAAGACAAATCAAGTAAAAACTGGTATTAATTTAACTGAAATTTGTGCTGTAGGGCTCCAAAATCGATGAGATATAGGCCATTTTGTAAAAAAATTATCAAGTTAAAGCTGTCTGTTTATAACATTCACTTCAATATGATTCCAATAACTTTCCTCGCAAAAAGAGACATGAAAATCCAGAACTGATCATCTAAAAATAAATTATTAAACATGTGTGAGTTTTGATTAACTTCAAATTATCATAACTTGACAGATATTTGAGTTAGGACAAAGTTTAACCAGTTCTGAAATCCTGAGAGTGTCTATTTTCATGACTAAACATGGCTGGCTCAAGGTACTGGCTACTCGAGCAGTCACTAAAGGTGCCATCAAGGCCAAATGCACCATCAAGGCCAAATGCACCATCAAGTCCAAGGGCACCATCACACCACCATGTCATGTGTTTAGGATGTTCCAAAACTAAAAGTTCTAAAAACATACTTGTGGTCATCCATGACTGAAGACAGATTAAATTCTTTGACTATTTTGTCAATAGAAAATGGTCTTGTAAAGAAGATAGGTATAGAAAGTGCCATGGAATGATTTGCAGATCTAAAGGCTAGAAAAAATGTTTTAGGTAGGATTATGAATGTTTTTTTTTTGTTTTTTTTAGCTTGTATTAAGTTGAATATTGTAATAAACTTGATATTCTAAATTTTCAGTTTTTTTCCTTGTGAAAATTTAAAAAAAATTATACTTATAAAGGCACTGAAGTTCAACTTGCCTTGGGTGCCATCAACCCTAGGGTCATCGACCCTAGGGTCATCACTGAGACTAGAGATAGAACTGGAGAATGTCAAAACATGCTAAATGTCCTCTTGTGAGCTGATTGTGATTGTCACTCTTTGAAGACTGGAAGTCACATGAGAAATATAATTTTTACAAAAAGAACTAAAACAGTAAACTACAGTAGTTAACAAAACAAAAACTACTATTAATATTTTCTGTTCAATCAGAAGTGCTATTGACAACTGTTTCTGGATCCTGTCTCAAAGCCACTAATGGTCCATAAATTTTTATAAGCACTCAAAGATAAAACCAGTGATCTTCAGTGAAATAACTTAAGAAAGACATTCAGAGTTATTCTTGTAACTACATGTTGGTCTCAATGAAAAATGTCCACACTTCATATTGATGTTATCCTTTTATTTAGGAAAGATACCATGAAAACTAGAAACAAATGAATATAAATGATGACAACAACTACAATATTTCAAGGGAAATGAGCACATGGAGTATTAACAACGAGAATTTCATATGATAGTAGAAACTAATAATTACTGTGTTACTATAGGAATTAAATCCAATATACCAGGTGTAACAGGAAATTTCCAATTATTAGATTAAGCTTTGAACCGTTGTATCTTAGAAATGATTAAAGATATATTACTGGAATTCTCTGAGGGTTTTTATAACACTATTGGACTCTACTTTAAACAATAAGAATGTATTTAGTTTCAAGTCGAAATGATGATCCCTCTTGCTTTTGTGACCTCTTGATCCAGTTTTCCTTTCTACTGTTCTCTCTTTTTTAAACTTATTCACTGTTCTCTTGATGTTTTTTTAATGGAATTTGAAGATGTAAGCCAAAGTATGAATGTTGGTACCATTGCTGAAGGCCTGAATGATCCTTTTCTTCTCACCATTGCTTATTTGGGAAGACATAGTGGGGCTGACACAAAATGATTTTAACCTGTTCTCTTTCTAGCTGAATGACCCAAAGGATTTTTAAGTGATTCTTACGACAAATAGTGGCAAGATGGCTAAATGTCTTATCTGAAAACCTGGAAAAAAGAAACTCAATTAGTTTAAGTGTTATTTTAGATATTAAACATTTTGTGGGATGGGCAGTTTTCCTATACTATTACATCATAAAGTAAGTCTGTCCACACATTTCACAATGCACTAAGAACACTTAACTACTTTATAAAACAGACTTCAGTGCAAGGAAAATAGAACATTTTATTTCTGAAAAGAATATATAAATGTTATTTCAACTGATGTTCTGATTCTACTTTTCCTCCAGAAAATAACCTTTTTTATGTTTCATTTAAAATATGTGTTGCTGTTAAATGTTTGGAATCATGACACTCAGATAATAACAAAAACCTTGGTAGAAGGATACCAACATTAACTTATATGGACCAACATGTGAGATAGTCACTGACCACCAGAACTGAAAGTTCCTTCCTAATAAAATTAGCACATATATGGGAGTTATGAATCAACAGATCGGAAGCAGCCCCTCATGCATGCTAGAAGCATTTAATTGGTCTCCGTGTTTTCTTTAGGTATCCTTAATGGGTCTCTGCCACATTTGTCTTTCATGAACTATAAGACACTACACAGTAGTAGCTAAAAAGGGGGAAACTTAGATTTGCAGAACAGTTTTAACATACTTTTGTGTCCAGAAAAGAAAACACTAGTATGAACACAAGAAAAATTACATAAAAAGCTTAATCGCAGTACCTTGTCAGTTGGCTTTAATTAAAATTGCATATATGTAGCAAAACCCAGCTTCAACTCTGTACGAACTTGGGAATGCAAGTAAAAGTGGTTCAATTTCTGCACTAAACTTGAGGATTTTAGTAGTACATTACTCCAAATCATCACTGAGGTTTTTACTATTGAATAATGATTTAGCTTCAAAATCCACACACATATCACTGAGTTCATCTTTTAAGTGAGCTTCAGTGTTTACATTTTCTGTTTCCAAATCAGATATTTACTGATTCCTTTTTTACTCCCACTACCAAAGCATTTATTGAATCTCTGGATAGTCTCATTGAGCCTTTAGAGGTTGATCTTGATCAATTTGTGTTCCCTGTACTAAAAGAAAAGAACTTACTACTATGTATGCCTTAATCTTCTATAGTAAACCAAAAATCAAGTTTTCAATATAATGAGAGGTGGAGTTAGCTTATATTCATCTGACAGTTCAAATAAGGTAATAAACAAAGCAAAAGCAAGATGCTACTAAAAGAAATTAAAAAAAAGTTCCCAAAAGTAGTTAAAATAGATGGAGAGGTTTTTGTGTTTCAATGTTATATGAGTAGAGAAGTATTATGATAGAATTTCATCAGCAGCATTTTGGAAATGTGAATTGTGATACCCATAACTGGTGCAGCACTACAAGACTCACTGATTATGTAAATGCCAGCAGAATTTATATTGTGTTTCAAGGATTGGCCTAAAGAATAGTGAATTAGGTTGGGTTGGGTTGGTGAATTTTATGACATATCAAACATTGCTGAGTTATTTAATGTCAAATCTGTTTTTTTTTTATTATACTTGAGTCTATAGATAACAATTGGTTGGGTTTATAATTGAGTCTATTGGTAAATATTGGTCATGTTTATTCTTGAGTCCATAGGTAAACATTGGTAGAGTTTATACTTGAGTCTATAGGTATATGTTGCATGAGATTATACTTGAGTCTGTTGATAAACAATGCTTGGGTATATACTTGAGTTTTTAGGCAAACATTGGTTGGGTTTATAGTTGAGTCTGTTGTGGACAAACTCCAACACTTTCACTTTATATAATTTATTTATTCTTTTCTGTGTATTAGACATGTTTATGTGTTATTGTTAAATATGTAAAATATAAAATGAATCAGTAAAAAGGTTGATGATCTGAGAAGTCATTTTGTCAAGAGTGCTGTTGAAGATTTCATGATTACTTCTTTGTTTATTCATCATTCATCATTAGGAAATGAACTTGTTAAGTGCTTTGCTAGGTGCATTTGGGAAGGAAAAATATAGTAAACAAAATTAAATAAAATTACTTTTTTTATTCATAGATAAAATTCAGTTTACTCACATTATAGTTTGGATACCATTTTTTGGGAACTTAAAATATTTTGTCTATTTTCAAAGAAAAATTAAAACAGGCCTTACAAAATTATTGTAAAAATAAATATTAACAGCTGTAGTATGATTATTGAAGTTTACTATTTTTTACAAGGTTAACAGGATTTATGCAAAGTAAATACAGAAAATATTCATGTAAGTACAAAAACTCATAACTTATCAAAATAATAACAAACTAACCAAAAATAATAATAAAAATTAATGAGTAATGTAACTTCCTCCAAATAGATGTATAATTTATTTTCATTGGTTGTTACTTCCATTGCATTTATAAAAGTACCTCTGATTGGCTGTCGCTCAGAGTATAGCGTCTGTATTGTTGTAGTGGTACGTATTATGTCCACGTTATCGCCACGTAATGTCATGTCTACGGCGATCGTAGAGTGACGATAAATGGTCCTAGCCTCTCTTTCCTTCACCTTTTAAAGACGTGCCAGGTCGTACAGCCGTCAACATGCAACATCAGTACAATATGCGTAGCCCAGGTAAACGTTTTGATTGTTAAATAGATGTATATGTACTTATCAAAGTTGAGTTATAAAAAAAGTCTGCTTAAAAAAACATTAAAACTTAAAAGTAAATTATGAAGAATTTGTTGCTGCTATATTTTAAAAAATATATTTTCAAAATATAAGTGGAAGATTTGACACTAGTAATGTTTATTAAATTCTCTTTTGTATTTATTGTAACATCAAGTTAAATTTATATTGAACAATCACGAGTGTATCACTCTCTAACAGAGGTTAAATAGTTATTTTTTCTGTCTACGGAACGCAATAATGTTATTGTAAAAATAAAATGTAATTGTAATCAGTTTTCAAGGTTTCGTAATGTGGATAAAATAAAACCACTGAATTGTGAAGACCTTTAAAAAATATATTTTATTTTCTTAAAATAGCTTTTGATGGTCTTACTCTTATGTAAATGAGAAAAGGTCATATTTTATATAGTTTGGTTTGCAAACAAATGATACTGACTTCTCAATATCATTAATCTCAAACAGAATTCCTAGATCGGGTTTCTATATTATTTATGGTTGAAGCAACAATTAATATTTTATATAATTACTGATTTAAAATAATTTTATGAAAATAACAAGAGCTTTGAGTGACTGAAGACCATTTTGTAGCACGACTAGTACTCCATAGTATGAAATGATAAATCTTGGTTATGTGAACTGAAAAAAAGGGTGTTTCTTTAAGTAGTCTACAATTTTCTATCAGTGTTATCGTTAGTAGGAGCAAATTTTATCAGAAAACCGTTGAAAATAAATATTAGCTTTTAGGAATAAATGGTTTTAGTAGTTTTTCTCCTTTTAGATTTGAACTTTTTGTACTTTCTCTCCTGTTTTTATATTTTTTATTTAAAAACTAAATGTACCCGGTGTTTTTAGGTCCATTCTTAAGCCAGCACGTTCGAATTGTTTACGTTTGCCCTAGTTTATTTATTTTAAGAAGTTGATGTATCATTTCATTTTCGTCTCCTGTATTTTGATTTTCTTACATACAACAACGATTAAAATCTTCACAAAAATCTGTACATTCAACTTCGAGACACTTTGATTTTTCGATTAAAAAAATCCTAATCACCAAATTTTAATTTTTGCATTGGAAGAGAAATTTAATAATCGCTTAAATTCAGTGATGCATAAAATAAAATATGATTTATTTAATTTAAACAATTTTCGTACATTACACCTTTTTGGATACTGGATAAAGAAATTAAATACAACCTCACCCTTTTTATCCGTCTTTTTGTTCTGATTTTACTTGAAAACGAATCGTTCATTTTTGTAATCAATATCGTGAAAACTGAAAACTTTCTTTTGTTTATTTATTAGTGTAATATTTTAATCCGAGCCTCTTGTAAAAATGCCATTTGCACTTTTACTTAAACAGTAACTAGTTGAAGACAATTTTAAAATCAAATAATCGTAGTTCTTGATTCCCGAGTGAGTTTTCTATTCTCTTCTTGACCTTTAAAGTTTGTGTAATCGTTCTTAGATTCTTACATTTGATTTGCTGAAGAAAAATGCCAATTGCTTGCGGCCTTTTTTTTTTTTTTTTACTTATTCAATTCATTCATCGATAAGATTTAAGTTTTTTCCTGCTATTTTCCAAAGAAAAAAAAATCAAGGCAACCAATATTAAAAATTCGCTCTATGCGCACAAATGAAAATTGGAAAAAAATATATGAAACAAAATCAGTTTTTGAATAAATTCATTTATTTTAACAATAACATCATCATTAAATAGCCATAGCAATGCATAATAAACTTTTCTTTTCTTTTTAATCTGGTTCACCCTGAAGCAAGGCAGTAAAGCTACTAAGACATAATGGGTTACTGGGTGTAGAAGAATTAGAAAACAACATTACTAAGGAGCAAGAACAAAAGAGTAATCAGGATGACAGTAAATAGCGATTGACATTGCATTTAAATTTTTGAAGATTACTGTTGACTGGAAAGCATGGAACTAGAAGAGAGTTCCACAAGAAGGAAGTGTGAAAAAAAAACTGTTAGTAGAGAACTTATGGTTATATCTAGCCAACTCAACTGTAAATTGATGAGACCTCATCACCAGTCTAGTACTGTACTTAAATTCATAAAGTTTAGATACCATATCGAAGAGTTCATCTGAACAATTACCATGAAAGTATTTACAGAAAAGGCACAGAGAGGCAACTTTACAGCGATGGGACAGTTACTGAAGCTGAGACATTAGATTGGGACCAATAATATTGCTGATTCTTCTTTGGATCAAGGATCTCTAAATCTATAGCAGGAGCATTGGACCATAGTGGCAGCAATATTTTAAGCATGGATGAATAGTACTCATAGATAGGTTCTGGAGAGCATGACACAGTGAACCAACCTTTATAGCAACTGACCTAGTAATGGATTCAACATAGTGTTTCCACTTTGTTTGCCGAGAATGTTAACCTGAGAAGGCACAATGATTCGCTCTCCTGTAGATTAGCATCAGCCATGCTAATGAAAGACTGAGGGGTCTCTCAGATGATTAATAGAGAGCAGTTTAGTTTTGGTGGCATCAAAATTAACAAGCCAGTTTTTACTCCAGTTCACAAGACTGAAGTTCATTTTTGATATCAGCCATCAATTTGACCATATCGAATTGTTCAGTCTTACTATTGAGACAAGAGTAAATAGTTGTGATATCAGCATAGGTACCAAGTTGAGAGCTGATGCCATTAGGAAGGTCATTAGTGAAAATTAAAAACAAAGTAGTACCAGGAATAGAGCCCTGGGGGGGGGGACGCCTGCATCAATACAAAAGGATCTAGAAAAGTGGCTGTTCAGGATAACTTTCATTTCACCATTTGATAAGGACTGGATCAGTTCAAAAATTTGTCCGGAGACATAATAAATTTTCAACTTGTGAATGCCAAACCCTGTCAAAATCTTCTGAAATGTCCAAAGCAACAGCCTGAGCTTTACTATTCTTATCTAGAGTTTTGATAGACTCTTTCACAGTTATCACCAATACATCAATAGTTGACCTTATTGCTTGTCTGAAAGAAGACCTAACAATGTGAAAATTTAAACCATTGATGCACTTATCTCTCTCTTTCTCTCTCTCTAAATGCATTGTTATGGATGTTTAACCATTATGCTGTTAAACTGAAATTTTTTTTCTTTGATTGACTTTGATTTAACATTTTTCAAAATTAATTTTAATTGGTGTGTGGAATGGGTGAGTTTTCTTTTTAACCATTAATTTCTTTGCATTAAAAAACTGTATCTTAGAACGGCCCTCAAAAATTATATCACCTGTGGGTAGGTGGGGCAGATGATATTTCTGTTGCTAGCTGCTTTTAACTTCACTTTGCAATTAGTAGCTTTGACATGTTGGGACTGATTTGAAAATCACTTGGACATTACTAGTATTCCTTTTAAAGTTTAGCTGCAGGTAGCCAATAACAACCAATCCAATTCTCATTCATAGAACATTTTTTTTTTCTTTAAAAGAAAAAAATTACTTTAAACATAATGATGAAAGAAAACTAGCATATAATTTATGTGATCATGGGCTGATACCATTCGTAAGTGTTGTGAAAGACACATTAATATTTTGCAGATGGATCATAAAATTAATGCAAATAATTTATTTGAAAAAATTAAAAACAGTTCTATAAGAAAACTTGTTCTTCTATTTGATAATTTAATAATTCAGTTTTAATTTGTAAAAGAAAATTAAATATTCAGCAACTAGCATAATTTATTTAAACACCTTTCTTTATGTTACCCGCTTTAAAATTTTATAATTCCTGAAACAATTTCATAAGTTGACTAGATATTAATATTTAACATAGGCTCAAATGTTTCTTGTTGGTTATCACACATATTTGATTTACTTCAAATTTAAGCCAACATTTTTCTCCCCTCAGTTTGAGAAATAGCACCTATGATCAGCTGATCTGAAGCAGAATCCTCCTGAGTTCTTTTAATATTCTCAGAGACTTAGGACTTCTAGATCTCTGATAAGATTAACTTTTATTATTGGTATTTTTTTTTATAGCATTTATTCAACTTCAGGCCATGTATCTTCGATTTTCATTATTGATAGTTCAATGTTAATTTAAATATTGCTGAAAGTAGTTGTATTTATTCTAGTGTGTTGAAACAATGATAAATTAAAACCTTAATGTAGGAATTTGCATTTTATTAGGTTGGCCAAAAAGTTAATTTGGTTTATTAAGTGAATTTTCTACTTAATAACTGAATAAGTATTTGGGACAACCCAATAAAATGCCAAAAGGTAATCCATTGACCCTGCTATGCTCTGTGCTTGTACAATTTAAACACTCCATATCACAAATCTTTTAATAGAAAACAGCATTCATGTTTTCCCTCCAAAGGCCAGTGGGGCTATACTGATGACTTTGGTATTTATAATTGGGATAAGAATGATCTTGAACAAAAAAAAAGTCAACATTCAAATATTCTACAAAGTAGGATTAACTTTTACAAAACAGAAACTATGATCTGGAATTAGAATGAAGACAGCGATAAACGATAAACATTCAGAATGTAGAATTAATCTTAAGCAATTCATATATGTTGGTGTATGGATCAGTTATAAGAAATAATTTTAGTTGTACTAGGGGTAGTTTTGACCAATCCCACAAGTTGCTAGAAAATCAAAATTATTAACTGAAATAGCCCTGTCAGATCAAGACTCACATGTGGATGTAATGCATAACATCCAATTCGATCCGATCAATGATTAAAAATGGCTATAAAACTTTACCAAGAAACAAAGACCATATCTCTTAAAACCTATCAGCAGCAGTAACAACTAAAATGAATGGCACTTTTAATTCTGAGAAAAAGATGACATAATCAAGATGTTGACATTCCACACTATATTAAACAAAAGATTAGGAAGGAACCCTTCCTAAACACTAGAAAAAGCAATGAGTGGACTTGAGAAACCTATTTTCCTGAAAAACTGTTTTAAGGAGA